TTTCACCATAAGCCGATTATCAGGGGGAGTCAGAGTTGTATAGTAAAAACTGTGGCTGTGTCTTGATTCGATCAGCTCTTATCTAATGTATTGGTCATTGTGTTTGATTCTTGCTGTGCATTCAGTACCATCTACCTGGGGTTCAGACCTCTAGTTGGACAAGTAGGAAGTGGAAGCTTAGAAATTAATTGAACATTTTCTTTTCAATTGCTTCTGATTAGTTTTTCTTTGACCATTTCCCTTCTTCCCACAGATCTGTTCTCAAGCTAAGCCGCTCAGCACGGAAAATCACGCAGAGCTGTTGGATTGTGTAGTTCTGCTAGGTAAGGGGAAGAGACTCCGAGTTGCACAGTGGTTTCCTTGTAACTTCCTTTGTCAGGTATGGTAAGAATAAGAGTTCTGTTGTCAGTGAGGACGTGATTTGTTCCCTTGCAGCCCGTTCTTCTCCTGATGATCTGATAGCATTTCTGCACTCGCAGCTGGAGATTGAGAATGAGGCTGTTCGTGTGGCCTCTTTGAATCTGCTCAGTGCTATGGTTGGTGCCGACTGTAAGTAACACAGGAGCAACTGTGCCAGCTGCCCTCTTGGCCGACATGCTGAGGGTTAAGTTGGGGACATCCAGCGCTAAAAGCATGAGCTACTATAGATTGAGCTAAAGAACCAAGGCTTTGTAGGCACGGCAGGGCTGTAACAGACTCATCGCCTCTGCAAATGGGGCACAGAGGCTCTATAACACATAGTCACCAGTGGTTTGGATTTTCCTAAGGGACCAAATGCTGCCTTAAGTTACCCCCGTATGGCCACACAGCAATCAACAGGTTCAACTAAATGCTGAATGTAGCCCAAGATATTTTTCAAGGTATTTTTCAACTTCAAATACAGAAGTTAACTTGGGGCTAAGGCATGTTAAGAATAATCAGATAAAAATAAAATAGGACTCCTGACTCGATAATTGTAAGTATTATATACTATAGACTAGATTCTGAGTTCTGTTCTACTGGTGTAAACACAGATTAACTTCAGTGACCTCAGTCTATCTAACACTTTTATAAGATTTCCATCATGGTAGTATGATGGCACTATTTATAGAAATGGAATTACTTTAGATTTACACTGGTGTAACTGAGACCAGAGTCTGGTCCTATGTTTTTCCCACTGATTCTGTAGATGAGAGAAGCTTGGTACTATTCTTAAATAAGGCTCTTTGAAATCCAGGATTAATTCCAATGTGGAAAGTGAGTGAGTGAAA